GTCCCTGCAGCACTTACCTTGTCCTTCGCTCCCGCGATGTGTCCCCTGCAGTGTCCCCGGCCATCTCCTCCGTCCGATGCCGCATCCGGCTTCCGTGTTCCGGTCCCTATGAAGTCAGGACGTACGGGCACCGCCAGCGGCGGCGGAAATTTGAAAATTTTAAAAAATTTAATTTTTTTCAAAACAAATTTTTCATAGTAAAACATTACTGTTTCAACCCATTTCACATACATTTTGTCCCGAGTGCTTTGTCCGGCGCCCTGCCTGCATTTTGTCTGTTCTTTCTGCCTGGAAACTGAGAAATGTCCACGGCGTCCAAAAAGTGTCCCTTTGGGGTTTATTTACTAAACCTGGTTGACTCAGAATCTTGTCCACTTCTGCATAAAAACCAATCAGCTTCCAGGTTTTATTGCTGAAGCTTAACTGAACATGCTGAGGTTAGAAGCTGATTGGCTACCATGCACAGGTGCCCAAGATTCTGAGTCAAAAGGTCGGTTTTTAGACAAAAGCGGTAGAGAACAGCGATAGTAAATCAGAACCACTTGCAGAATTGAGTGATAATGATTTGTGGGGGAAATTCGTCATCAGACACTGAAAACGATTCTGCGACTTTGCTCAGCAATGTACGAACTTGGCGCTATATTTCAAATTTCAGTGTTTTTGGTTTGATTATATTATTGAATTAATTTTATTATTATATTATTATTTTTTATGATTATTTATTAAATTATAATTTATGATTTCGTGTTTCAAATTTTATCCTACCCGGGATGTTTACTAGACTCTTGTTTGTACAGATTTCAGTGAGTTATTCCTAAAAATTACAGCCTACAATATAAAAAAACTACATATTTCCATGCAAAAAAATTTACCGCTTTGAGCACAGAAATATGGACATAATCAGTAAGCTAGGGAGGTTAAAAGATAATTTGTAAATAAAGAGATACACAATCTATGCAAAATAATGGTACCGCTTTCAGCACCAAAAATCTGAAATAATCAGACCGCCAGGGAGGTTAATAAAAAAGAATAAATTTTTACAAAAATCTTTTATAGCAAGAGCAATGTAAAGTGCAGAATATAGTAAAGATATCCACCAAAATTAGCAGAGGAAATTATTTAAATGCAAGTGAAAATTACGTTTATTACAGCTATACTACAAAAATACAATATTTATTTTAGTAGGGCTTTCTTGGTTGCCAGACATTAATCACATTTTTTTTCTTCATATAAAAACATGTATTTTTACTGATGAACTGTAATTTTGTTTGAAAATTAAAAAAGCTTGCCTGGAGTCATGCTATATTCAATAAAAATGTAACCTGTATGGCAGAACTCAAACAATTATCCCTAATCACCTGTCCCCTGTTACGTGTTTAATACCTCGAACATTTACTTGCAATCATTGTTATATTCCAGTATAATACTATCATGGTTTTAACAACAATCTTGTTTCTATACAGATACTATTTTCATGTAGTGCAATACAGCGGTGGCGGCTCTATTGTGACATGTTTGGCCATTAGATGCAAGGATAATCTGTAGTATAAATATAGCATAGTGATTCCACATAATGAAACTTGTATACACAATATTTAACTTGTTTATATTAGTGGACGTTTTACTCACTTGTACTTTAAAGCCCCATTCACATTAGGGTGTTTTGAATCATGGGCAGAATTTCCGCGATTCTGCCCATGATTTCAAAAAGCTCTGCTAAAATAATGTCAGGAATGGACTTGCCAATGGTGGTGGGACTCACCTGCCTTGTGGGCTGCAGTACCAGGGCTGGCCAGCGGGTGCTCTCAGCAACCAGAAGCTCACTCCTGCAGTCAGCCATCACCTGAGGCTGATTGCAGGCGGTGTATTTAAGGAATGGCCAGACCTGCAGTCAGTGCCTTGGTGTATGTTACCCATGAGCCCCTGTACCTTGTATCCTGTGTCCTGTTCCTCTGCCGATCTGATTTGTTGCCGACCCTGCCTGATCCTGACCTCTGCTGACTTCTCCTGCTTGATCCCTGGCTCGTTTGACTACTCTCCTGGACATCCCTAATCTGATCTGAACTCCTGTTACCGACCCCGGCGAGTGACCTGACTACTTTTCTGCCTGCTGCTTAGTACCACGCTGACCTGCTGTTACTGACCCGGCCCGTCTGACCACGCTAACTACTCTGCCATCCATCCATCCTGCACGGATCCAGTCAACCCTGCTCACACCTTCTGCCTCTTCACATCGGGCTTCCTACCTGCATATACCTCTGGCAGATCTCTCTACTATGAGCAGGTGTACTCAGGGGCCGCAACCTGGTTCCTGTCTGCTCCAAGTCCATCCCCACCATCAGGGGCCCTGGTGAACAAGCAGACTGGGACTTAGACTCCGCGCCCTGGGGAATCCTGTCCTGAGGACTGCTAGAGGTACCACCAGACGGTCGTTAACAGAACCATACGGCCGGCCTGACCATTCCACCTCTCCAGCCCTGACTATGCCTGTGTTCCTGCACATACTAAGATTAGTGGAAGGTTGGTTTGTTTACTGTGGGTTGTATATTTGGGTGGCTAATAATAAGTATATTGTTATTATGTCATTCCTGAAGCCTGTTACTTCCCTGTGTCAGTCCACACACCTCTGGTCACACCCGGATCCTTGACAAATAACAAATGGCAGAACCGCGTGTTCAGGCGCCATTCATTTTACAGCCACCTAAAAACTCAGTGCGGTTCTGCTGTGATTGTCGTGTGAAAAATGGCATCGCCCAAGTTCCAGAACATATTCTGCAATGCGGTTTGCCGCGATTGCAGCATGACTTATCACATGACAGTCGCTGCAGAACCGCATCATGTTTTCAGGTGCCATTAACATGAAAAGTACCTGAACACGCAGTTCGGCGATTTGTCGTTTTAGCAGAGAGTTTTGAAATTATGGGTAGAATTGTTGCGATTCTGTCTGCGATTCAAAACGCCCTACTGTGAAAGGGGCCTAAGATAGAGAGGCACACTCTGGGTGGGGATTGTAGGAGGAGAAATGCACCAATAGTTCAATTCTAATCAAAAATAAAAATTAGTATAATAGACTCTTTCCAATGTTCCTCTTATTTCATAATAACGACAGTTCTTAATATTTATATCAGCATGTATAATATCGGGATAATTCATTATACCTGTCAGCAACATTTCAATATGCTTTCACTTGCTCGTGTCTAACTTAGGTTTACATTGAACTATTTGGTTTTCCTATAATGTTGACTAGACATTTCAAATGAATGGAAGAAAAGGGGGTAGGGGAATGAAAAGTCCAGTAAGGCTCCTTAGTACCCCAATCAAAATTTAAATTTCAATATCCTTCCTTTCTTATACCTGCAGTAAAGTTCTTTTATGATACACAGTGAGCAGGCAGGACTTTTATTGCAGAAAAGACGTGCAACGTCTCTTCTGCAAATATAACCCATCTATCTGCCGTCTCACAGTGATCCCTTGACTGTAAACTGAACTGCATATGTGCAGCTCAGCTTACAGTGGCTAGGCCAACCCTTTGTCAATCCAGAATTGTTATTATTATACAGTATTTATATAGCGCCAACAGTTCGCTTACCATTGTTATGCTGTAATGGCCATCAGGTGGGAAACAAAGTAATGACAGTGTTCTGGAGTACTAATGCCCTTATGCTCTATGTATGGTTTTAATGGCCCAGAATTAGTGATAGATTCAGCAGTTGTGATAAATACCTACAGTAGGTGAAGGATGTCAGTAAACAGGAAACGGCTCATTAATATGACTGGTCTGTGAAAACGTTAACAAGCGGCTATACCTGGGATATGGGTCAGAGACCTTCTCACTGGATTCCTCTGGAGGCAGTCCTCTGATAGCAACAAGTGCTCTGTAGGGTGGGGGGACTCTCTTGGTAAGCAGCACTGCAGACAACATTCTATGTGATGACAACTCTCACAGCAATTCTGGATGCAGGTATCCCGGGTCCCCAATATTACTCCAGCCCCTCTCCTGATCAGCCTCCTGGATCCAGTGTCCAGCACAGCAACCTGCACTCTCATTGGGCACTGCACAGCTTGAAGCAGCACAGCTCGGTACAGCACAACTCCACTTAGTGTGCCTTGGCGCAGCTCTCTCCTCTCTGGTTGCCATGCTTCCCCAAACTGCGCATCTCCTTCCCGGACTTTTGCTTTTATTTTACCCCTCCAGCTCCCAGGTGCCTATGGATCTTGTATTTGTGGCCAGGAATGGCTATAGTTGAAATCCTTCTTTAAAACTACATCTCCCAGACTGCTCCTATGCAACCTGTAAAACCCAGTGAAGCCAGGCAAGACATAGTTGGCAACACCATTGTGTGGACAAAAAAAGGTCTGCAATTCAGTAACATTTCCCAGTGTTAGAATTACTAACCCTTAGAATCCCAAAGCCACCCCTATGGAGGCATGTATAGCTTCTTGATATGTGCATTTGCTCACCCCATCACTGCAGTCTACGCCACCTTATCGCAGCGCGTGACGTGGATGTCATGGATACCATATTGATGTGCCTGGCACTAAGCCAGTAGGCTTCCCTCTCCTCTACCCAGTGACACCCACCATGGTGGGTCTGGGCTCATAGGTGGGACAATGGTGCTTAGTAAACATGGAAGTCACACTACCGGGGGTCTGTGGAGGTTATTGGGTCCATGGAAGCTATACAGCCGCTGAATCACTGCCACCTGGTAGCCTAAACAAGTATTTTCCATACTTGCTTGAAAATCTTCTGAAAAAAAAAAGAAATCTAATGCAGCCACCACATCTAAGTACTGATAAGCTGCAATATATTCCTTTTGTTTTTGGGTAAAGCAATGCCTTAAAGTGTTACTAAACGTATGACCCCGCATTCACTATAATTGGTTTCCCACAGTACACAGAACATGGAAATGCAATTATTTTAGTAAATATAAACTGCTAAATACCTTTTCTCATCAGCAGTATATAGCAGTCTTGCGAGCACTGAGCACTGGTTATAACTTTCAGGAGTTTTTATTCTGCTCTAAATGTCCTATGAGGCTGCATAACCCCTGAACCTCTGTCTAGATAGCGCTGATTGGCCCTGTGCTGATCACATGCACCCTCCCAAATGAAAAAAAAAAAAAAACTCTAGCTATACACACCAAACTGAGCATGTTCAGAGTGACTCCAACTCTCTAGCTATACACACTAAACTGAGCATGTTCAGAGTGACTCCAAGAGCTCTGTACTATCAGCAGATGGATTGGGGACAGTAGAAAAAGGGGATAATCAGAGAAGACAGGATCAGTGTGGAGGATATGATCCGCAGTGAGAATAAAATGCATTCTTTACTGCATATACAGACTGATTTTTCTGTTGTTGGTTTTGTAACACTTTAAATATTAGTCCTTTAGCAAGCTGTAGTATAGGATTTGTGTGTAAGGAATGGTCAACCGCCAGCCAACTCCCTTTGCAAGCAAAATTACACTTTAAGGACCTGGCCAGTTTGTAGTGACATTCCTTTGGTATGAGCTATGGTAACCAAGATAACCAGGATATTAGAGGCTTTCTTATATATAGGTGAGGCAACTAGACAACTATAAGAAGGAAATATGAAATATGCAATTTCTTCATCATCATCTTGGTCTGCCTGGAAATATGGAGTACACTATAAATAAAATCATGTGAAAAAAGGAAAGCTACAATACTGAATTCTGTCACTAGATATATTTCACAAACAGTAGTCCATTAATGCCTGTAGGACATTTAATTAATAACATACGTATAAACATGCAGAAGGCAAATTGTACATTTTAGGCTGCCTAAAAGAAGAAAAGCAAGATATTCAAATGAATAGAATAATACCGAAAAAGATTTATAGTTCAGGAACAAGCTTTGATAGCAACATAGTGGTTGTATTAATAAACCATAAACATTGAAATATACACAATATTAGATGCTAATGGAATTTCCCTGGGGCTAAAATATTCAAGTGGCACACTATTTTGAGTTTTAACATATCTACAATGCCTACATAACTTTCCCCATAGATCATACAAACTGTTTATTATCCAGGAAACTTCAACAATTGGTTTAATTCGGGCCTGGAAAATATGACATTGCATTCGTTCAGATTGAAATATTCTGCAATAATATGAGCTTCAGCGGTGTTGCGGAAGGTATGATTTGTTAAATTATTGTGTTCTATGCACACCTTTCTTATGAATCAGGTATGTACTTTACGTGCAGAGATTAAATGCTGGAAATGTTCCCCTTGGCATCATTGTTACTCTTGGTGGGATTGCAGAAATATTAACCACATGCCGCCCAGCCACTGTAGAAATACGGCAGCAGGGTGGCACGGCTGGGCAAAAGCACGTTTAAAAAAGTGCTTTTGCAAAACAGGTAGGGGGCGCTCACGAGGTGCTCCGCCGCCCCCTACCTGCACTGCCAATCCCGGCCGCGGGTGTCAGTCGGCGGGCCACAGTCGGTCATTACCGGCTGTGTCTCGCCGATTAGCAGCAATCACTGACAGAGAACAGGGCTGCAGTAGCTCTGCTTTCTGTCAGTTCCCTGTCAGCTCCTGACATGCTGAGCCGGAGAGAAGAGTTTATCTCTCCCAATCAGCATGTCCCGTGCAGTACACACCCCCGCCCCCTAGTAAAACACTCCCCTCACACAGTTAACCCTTTCAGTAAATAAAGTTAACCCCTTCCTCCCCAGTGCCATTAGTACAGTGTCAGTGTTTTTTTTTTTTTGCACTGATCACTGTATTGGTGTTACTGGGGATGTCAGTGACACCAAGTCAGTTCACCCCCCAGTGTCAGAATGTCCGGCGCAGTCCCGCAGTCCCGCCATAAGTCACTGATCACCGCCATTATTAGTATAAAAAAAAATAAAAATCCGATTATCTTTCCGGCTATTTGTAAACACTATAACTTTCACGTAAACCAATTCATTTACACGTATTGGGTTTATTTTAGCAAAGACATGTTGCAGAATGCATTTTGGATGAAATTTATGCCGAAATTAGATTTTTACATTTTTTTTTACTAGACATGTTTTATAGCAAAAAGTCCAAAATATATTTTTTTTTTCAAAATTGTCAGGCTTTTTTTTTTTATAGCGCAAAAAATAACAAACGCACAGGCGATCAAATACCACCAAAAGAAAGCTCTATTTGTGTGAAAAAAAGGACATAAATTTCATTTATGTACCGTATTGCATGACCGCGCAATTGTCCGTTAAACTAGCGCAGCGCTGTATAGCAAAAAAATGGCGTAAATTGCAGTATCTATACCATAGTTTGTAGACGCTATAACTTCCACACAAAGCAATCAATATACACTCATTGGGATTTTTTTTACCAAAAACATGGAGCAGAATACATTTTGGCCTAAATTTATAACCAACTTTGAGTTTACTATATATTTTTTATAGCTGAAAGTAAAAATATCGCTTTTCTTCAAAATATTTGGTCTTTTTTTGTTTATAGCGTGAAAAATAAAAAGCGCACAGGTGATCAAATACACCAAAAGAAAGCTCTATTTGTGTGGAAAAAAAAGGACGTAAATTTCGTTTGGGTGCAGCGTTGCATGACCGCGCAATTATCAGTTGAATTAGTGCTGTGCCGAGTAGCAAAAAGAGGCGTGGTCATTAAGGTTGGTAAATCCTCAGGAGGGGGAGGGGTTAACATAGTACAGGCAACAAGTTTTTTCAGAAGGAACTGTGGGAGGCGTACTGTATATCACTAAGTATTTTTATTTGTGTTTTTACTTGGTTTTCCATTTGATCATGCAGCTATGATTCTTCCCTTCTATTTTTTATTTCATCGTAGAAACCAATACAATACAGCTCTTGTCTTGGCAAACAAACATGGAACCAATCATTGACCACTTTCCCTCCGCCCTATAGCAGAAGTACTGCTACAGGGCGGCAGGGCTGCGCAAAATCACGTATATATATATGCGATTTGCATTTCTAGGTAGGGGACGCACACGCGCCACCTACCCGCGCTGCTATTGGAAGCTAGGGATGTCAATCACCAGGTCCTGATCGCCGGGTAAAGCTGACAGGGGAGAGACCTGTCTGTAAATGACACAGGTCTCTCTCCTGTCCAGCATGGACATTGCTGTTTTGTAGTTCTCTGCACAGCACAGTGATACAAAACATTATGTCACCCTAGTAAATACAGTAAAACACACATGGCACACAGTTAACCCTTTGATCTCCCCAGATCAGGGGCGGACTGACCATTTGGAAACTCGGGCACTGCCCGAGGCCCCGGGTCAGTAGGGGGCCCCATGAGATGTCCCTGGTACCTTTTTCATAGGCTTTTTTGAGTTTGGGCAAGGACACAGGGGCCACATGATCCCCTATTGCCTGGGTGCTCCATGATTTGTCAGTCCGCCCCTGCCCCAGATGTAAACCCCTTCCTGCCCAGTGTCATTAGTACAGTGTCAGTGCTTTTTATTACTAGTATTAAAAAAATTTAAATTTCAGTATATATACCGCCATTTGTAGACGCTATAACTTTCACGTAAACCAATTAATTTACACGTATTGGGATTTTTTTTAACAAAGACATGTAGCAAAAAACATTTTGGCCAAAATTTTTGAAGAAATTGGATTTTTAAATTTTTTTATTGGACATGTTTTATAACAAAAATAAAATCTAAATTATTGAGGGGGGGGGGGGGGTTTCAAAATTGTTGGTCTTTTTTTGTTTATAGCACAAGAAATAAAAAACACAGAGGTGATCAAATACCACCAGAAGAAATCTCTATTTGTGGGGGAAAAAGTGTCAAAGTTTCATTTATGTACAGTGTTGCATGACCGCGCAATTGTCAGTTAAAGTAACAAAGCACTGTATCTCAAAAAAATGGCCTGGTCAGGAAGGGGGTAAATCCTCTGGAGGGCAAGTGGTTGAAATACCTTAATTTTAATATGGATGCTAATCTGTTTCACAGGGTTCCTTCCACAATATACCTAACAATATACCTTGGTGTCATTCTGGACTCCAACCTATCCTTCCAGCCCCAACTCCAATCTTTAACAAACTCGTGCAGACTCCACCTCCGCAACATCGCCAAAATCCGCACGTTCCTAACCCCAGAAACCACTAAACAGCTCATCCACTCCCTCATCATATCACGACTCGACTACTGCAACTCCCTCCTCACTGGCCTGCCTCGCCGCTGGCTATCCCCACTTCAGTCCATCCTGAATACGGCTGCCAGACTCATTCACCTTTCCAACCGCTCCGTTTACGCCAACCCCCTCTGCCAATCCCTCCACTGGCCTCCACTCAGTGACCTCCACCCCCCTCTGCCAATCCTCCACTGGCCTCCACTCAGTGTCCTCCACCCCCCTCCGCCAATCCCTCCACTGGCCTCCACTCAGTGTCCTCCACCCCCCCTCTGCCAATCCCTCCACTGGCCTCCACTCGGTGTCCTCCACCCCCCTCTGCCAATCCCTCCACTGGCCTCCACTCAGTGTCCTCCACCCCCCTCTCTGCCAATCCCTCCACTGGCCTCCACTCAGTTTCCCTCCTCCCCCCTCTGCCAATCCCTCCACTCGCTTCCGATTGCGCAACGGATCAAATTCAAAATCCTAACACTGACGTACAAAGCCGTCCACCATACTGCCCCGAACTACATCACTGACCTAATATCCAAGTACCACCCAACACGCACACTCCGCTCCTCACAAGACCTCCTTCTCTCTAGTTCCCTGGTCTCCTCCTCACATGCCCGCCTCCAGGACTTCTCCAGGGTGTCACCCATCCTCTGGAACTCCCTGCCCCAACCCATCAGATTATCACCTACTCTCCTCTCCTTTTAGGCGCACCCTGAAAACCCACCTCTTCAGTGAAGCCTACCCCACCCCCTGCTAACTTGCCGACCTCCTCCACTCTTCCTACCACCCCATCCCCCACAGCTATCTCCTTCTGTACCACCATCCCCTCCCTCCTAGATTGTAAGCTGGAAAGAGCAGGGCCCTCGATCCCCTCATGTTCTGCATTGTATTGGTATTGTTCTGTCACATGTTCTGTCCCCCTCTGTAATGTACAGCGCTGAGTGAACTATTGGCGCTTTATAAATACTGTATAATAATAATAATAATAATAAACACACTGATACTGAATGTGGCGGATTGTGTAAAGCATGACATGGTACTATGTTAATAACGATACACAAGTCTAGCAGATGCCTCCAGGATTTAATAAAAAATGCTTGAACGCTGCAGTATGTTTTCTCTCCCTTATAAAGTATTAGACACCATTTTTCCATCTTATTTAGTGTTCTTCAAGCATTGTTTTTTAACGCTTAATGGAAAATTCTCCAGCAAGTCTGACAGACTTAAAAATGAATCATTTATCTGCTCTTATCTTTCAGTTGTGTCAGTATATTAAAGGCATTTTATTCTAGTTTAGTGAACGTATATCAGTACACTGATTCGTTATCAGACCTGTGCCTAATGTTGAATAACTATTTCAAAGCAATACTAGTTGTATCTACTTATTGTATAAATCACTCAATATGAATTTGATGCAGGGGCGGACTGACCATTTGGAAACTCGGACACTGCCCGAGGGCCCGGGGTCAGTAGGGGGCCCCATGAGATGCCCCTGGTACCTTTTTATCATAGGCTTTCTTGCGTTTGGAAAAGAAAATGAATGCAGTCACCACATTCAAAGTGTTCCTAAACCCAGGACCCCGCATTCACTCTATCTGGTCTCCCACAGTACACAGAACATGAAAATGCAATGATTTTAGTAAACTCCTAAATACCCTTTCCTCATCAGCAGTTAGAGCAGTCGTGTGACTTCTATCAGTGTCCAGCAGAGCACATGTTAAAGCTTGTAGGAGGAGTTTTCATTTTGCCCTAGGAGGATGCGGAATCCGTGACCTCTGTCTGGACAGTGCTGATTGGCCCTGTCCTGATCACATGCACTCTCCCAAGAAAAAAAAAAACCTTTCTAGCAATACACACCAAACGGAGCATGTGCAGAGTGACTCCACACGATATGTCTTTTTATGAGATAAGAGTGGACACTGGAAGAAGGGGAGGATCAGAGAAGTCAGGATCAAACAGCCTTTTTACACAATGCAGAGGATTAACCCCTTAGGTTCCAAGGGGAGTATAACAAGCATGCCTTACTGCCTATACAGGCTGATTTTACTGTTGTGGGTTTAGTAACACTTTAAGGATTGTCATAATATATTAGTTTTTTGTTTTTGGATTTAACAACATGCCACCCAGCCACTGTATAAATACGGCGGCAGGGCGGCACAGCTGGGCAAAAGCACGTTTTAAAACGTGCGTTTTGTAAACAGGTAGGGGGCGAGCGTGAGGCGCGCCACCGCCCTACCTGTCCCGCCGATCACAGCCGCAGATGTCAGTCGCCGGGTCACAGCCAGTCGTTACCGGCTATGTCCCAGCGATCGGCGGCGATCTCTGACAGAGAGCACAGCTGCAGCAGCTGTGCTTTCTGTCAGTTCCCTGACAGCTCCAGGACACGCTGATCTCGACAGAAGAGTTTCTCTCTCCCGATCAGCGTGTCCTGTGCTGTACACACCCCGCCCCCTAGTAAAACACTCCCCTCACACAGTTAACCCTTTCCCTGAAAAATAAACTTAACCCCTTCCTCCCCAGTGCCATTAGTACAGTGTCGGTGTTTTTTTTTTGCACTGATCACTGTATTGGTGTCACTGGGGATGTCAGTGACCCCAAGTCAGTTCCCCCCAATGTCAGAATGTCCACCACAGTCTCGCAGTCCCGCCATAAGTCGCTGATTGCCGCCATAAGTCACTGATCGCCGCCATAATTCGCTGATCGCCGCCATTATTAGTATAAAAAAAAAACCTAAAAATCCCAGTATCTTTCCCGCCATTTGTAAACGCTATAACTTCACGTAAACCAATTAATTTACACGTATTGGGTTTTTTTTTAGCAAAGACATGTCGCAGAATACATTTTGGCAGAAATTTATGACTAAATTTGATTTTTAAATTTTTTTTTACTGGACATGTTTTATAGCAAAAAGTCCAAAATATTGTTTTTTTTTCCTCAAAATTGTCAGCCTTTTTTTTAAAACCCAAAAAATAAAAACCGCACAGGCAATCAAATACCCCCGAAAGAAAGCTCAATTTGTGGTAAAAAAGGATGTAAATTTCATTTATGTACCGTATTGCATGACCGCGCAATTGTCCGTTAAACTAGCACAGCGCTGTATAGCAGAAAAATGGCGTAAATTGCAGTATCTATACCATAGTTTGTAGACGCTATAACTTTCACACAAAGCAATCAATATACACTTATTGGGATTTTTTTACCAAAAACATGGAGCAGAATATATTTTGGCCTAAATTTATAACTAACTTTGAGTTTACTATATATTTTTTATAGCTGAAAGTAAAAAATATTGTTTTTTCTTCTCAAAATGTTTGGCCTTTTTTTGTTTATAGCGTGAAAAATAAAAAGCGCACAGGTGATCAAATACCACCAAAAGAAAGCTCTATTTGTGTGAAAAAAAGGATGTAAATTTAGTTTGGGTGCAGCGTTGCATGACCGCGCAATTATCAGTTGAATTAGTGCAGCGCCGAGTAGCAAAAAGAGGCGTGGTCATTAAGGGGGGTAAATCGGTAAATCCTCAGGAGGGGGAGGGGTTAACATAGTACAGGCAACAAGTTTTTTCTGAAGGAACTGTGGGAGGTGTACTGTATATCACTAAGTATTTTTATTTGTGTTTTTACTTGGTTTTCCATTTGATCATGCAGCTATGATTCTTCCCTTCTATTTTTTATTTCACCGTAGAAACCAATACAATACAGCTCTTGTCTTGGCAAACTAACATGGAACCAATCATTGACCACTTTCCCTCCGCCCTATAGCAGAAGTACTGCTACAGGGCGGCAGGGCTGCGCAAAATCACATATATATATGTGATTTGCATTTCTAGGTAGGGGACGCACACGCGCCACCCTACCCGCGCTGCTATTGGAAGCTAGGGATGTCAATCACCAGGTCCTGATCGCCGGGTAAAGCTGACAGGGGAGAGACCTGTGTAAATGACACAGGTCTCTCTCCTGCCAGCATGGACTTGCTGTTTTGTAGTTCTCTGCACAGCACAGTGATACAAAACATTATGTCACCCTAGTAAATACAGTAAAACACACACAGCGCACAGTTAACCCTTTGATCTCCCCAGATCAGGGGTGGACTGACCATTTGGAAACTAGGGCCCAGGGTCAGTAGGGGGCCCCATGAGATGCCCCTGGTACCTTTTTCATAGGCTTTTTTGAGTTTGGGCAAGGACACAGGGGCCACATGATCCCCTATTGCCCGGGGGCCCCATGAGTTGTCAGTCCGCCCCTGCCCTAGATGTAAACCCCTTCCCGCCCAGTGTCATTAGTACAGTGTCATTGTTTTTTATTGGCTCTGATCACTGTATTAGTGTCACTGGGGATGTCAGTGGCAGTCAGTTCCCACCCAGTGTCAGAATGCCCATCGCAGTCCCGCTATAAGTCACAGATCACCACCATTACTAGTATTAAAAAATTAAAATTTCAGTATATATACCGCCATTTGTAGACGCTATAACTTTCACGTAAACCAATTAATTTACACGTATTGGGATTTTTTTTTTAGCAAAGACATGTAGCAAAATACATTTTGGCCTAAATTTTTGAAGAAATTTGATTTTTAAATTTTTTTTATTGGACATGTTTTATAACAAAAATAAAATCAAAATTATTGAGGAGGGGTTTTCAAAATTGTCAGTCCTTTTTTTGTTTATAGCACAGGGTCAATAGGAGGAATTGCAACTAATTATCATATATAATACCACATAGGTAATGGACACATATTACAACACAGCTGGGCTTCAGAAATATGACTTTACTGGGGTGACTGTAGATCAGCTTTAATTTCGGCCAAATGTGGTACACAATATCAGTGGGTTACATTATTTCATTACCTTTCTGTTCCGAATGTGTGAATGCCTAGCCTGCGTTAATTACAAATATATATTTTTTTTGTAGCTTTGTCATTTGGTTATGAGCCCACTTGAAAAGACGGTATATATTATTTTGTCCATTTATGTTCAGCTGCCTACTGAAAGTAACAAGGGTTAGCCAAATATTTTATTTCCTCCGAGCCTGACAGATTTTACAGCCATGTGTATGCTTGTTACATTGGATAGTCCTCTGAATGCCTGTGGCACAAATGGACGCATTTACAAGTTTAGACCAAATGAAATCAGAATACGGAGCTTAATTGCTCTACTGTACTTCTTTTGGACAAGAGAAGAAAATTACACATTCATTTTAATTATGAAAGTGATAGCTTTGACTTAAGATACCTGTCTGCTGGCCATTTTGGCTTGGCGCTGTCTGCTTGGCAGGAACCATGTTTCAATAATCAGATGACACATGTGCCTCAACAGAACATGCATTTACTTAGTG